GCTTCATTTCCTGGGTACATTTTTCTTGGTACAACAGAGACTACGTGCGGATGTGCAAAATGACCTATTCCAGCCTCTTGTGAGTAATGTATTTAAGCAACGCTCTTTTCCCTTTTTTTTTTTTTTCACGGGAGGGATTGGGTGTATTGGCGTCACTCACTAAGCTCTAAACAAGAACGGTGAAGGCTTTTTTTTTTTTTTTTTCGGAACAATTCAGCGCGAGGCCCAAGCATTACGCAACCGTAATAATAAAAACATTGAATAAAAAGTAACGTGAGAAGTAATCGATTACTTTAGAGTAATTTTTCTACTACTTTTTTGAGGCTGAAATTGTAGTTGTAATCGGTAACTTTTTTTCAGTAACGCGTACAAGTTTGCATTGCACTAAACAACATTTTAATCGCGGCTGCGCCAAAAAAGAAGGAAGAAACAAACAAAGGAGGGCCGTGAAATGAAGCTGGCACATTGCCCTTGTTGCTGCACTCGACGTCCGGAGCGTAACTTTCTGCCATCGCCGACATCGAAGTTTTAGCCACTGCATCGAACGTAAGCAAGTGATGTAATACGAGGGGTTCGACAAAAAAGGCAGCAAAGTCTCGTCTCTGTGAGAGTTAAGCAAGCCTATATGTCATCCATGTCTGTTTTGTTATATTATATATATATATATATATATATATATATATATATATATATAGATATATGCTACATAATTGTGCTTTAAAGGAGCGGTGCAACGATATTCAATTGAATGTTTTTCACTTGACACGAGCTTACTGGCACTAGTGGGACTCAAGGATACTCACACGCAACGCCACTGGCCTAGAAACTCCTTTGTTGTGGTGTAATTTCAAGGACAAAAGCGATCATTTTCATTCAACCTCTCCTTTGCTAAATTTGATGACGTAACGTGGGGATCGTAGTACACCCAAGTGACGATATTTGAATGCGGTTCATAGATTGGACCCGAGCATTGCGTGTGCACTCGACTTGGGCTCGTGATAATTGCTAGCTCGAGAAGCATTCGGGTAGTGACCCGTGTCCAATCGCTGCAACGACGACAACAGCCGAGCCATAACCATGTCTGGAACTCAGCGCGTGTCCTGCGCTTTGCCAACCCCAGCGCGTGGCTATGATCAACACTGGCGGCATATAATCGGCTCCAGATCACGTGGCCGCTTGCTCTGGTTGCGAGTTGAGGGGGTGAACGCTGCTCGTTTTTCTTTAATTTTTTTCTGGGACTTCTATTGCGTGGGTGAAAAACGAACGCGTGTTTCATGGGTCATTAACGTTAGGGATCCGTTTTAAGCGGTATTTGCGCAACAAACGGCGACAAAGGAGTTTCTTGGCCAGTGGCGTTGCGTGTGGGTATCCTTGAGTCCCAGGTGTGCCAGTAAGCTCGTGTAGAGTGAAAAACATTCCAATTGAATATCGTTGCACCGGTCCTTTAAGCAACGGGATTTTTTTCTGGCTCTTCCGAAGTAATTCTTTCTCCTTTTTTTTAAATATATAAGACATTCAAATGTGGGACTTTGGTGTTTTCAGCGTGGTGTGTGACTCTCGCCCTTTTGCACCGAGAAATGGCGGAAGGATGCGAAGATCTGCGTGTATGTGCACGAACACTCTCAACCGAGACTCTTAAAAAGGTGCGTCAACTTCTCCCCGAAGCATGCGGAGAACCCTAGTCGCCGGCAGCCCGAGAAACCTGAAATATGTTCACGCTTCTTGCGTCGTGATTCGCACATCGGAGCTCTTTTTGACTATTTCTGCAATCTTACGGGCTACCAACTCGCGTCGGGTGAGGCCGTTCCGTGTGTTTCAGAAGCTCAGAGCAACGAAGGTGAAGAGGTGTGGAGGGGCGCGAAGCTGTTCACTGGCACCGCCCCAAGACAGACGGCTACACATTAAGGCGCAGACCTACGATATATTCTCTTCGCTCGGCCACGGAACTTGCGGATGATCATTTTCTTCTTAGCTCCACCGCAGTTACGGCGTTTTTCGGATGCTCGAACAGACGTGCAGGCGCCATTATTCGCATGGAAAATGAGACACAAGGATTTTTTTTTTTATTTTTTTTCCAGCCAGATTGGTTTTTGAATACTTCGTTCAATTAAAGATTCCCCATTTAAAGTTACGAACACGAAAACTGTCTCCTCGTTGAGGAAGCTTTCCCCACGATGAAATGAAACGAAGAAAAAGAAAGCTGTTTCATTCCCTCGTTTCGAAAGCTTTTCCTCGAGGAAATGGAACTTAAAAGGAAAAAGCGAATCGCAAAAGAATTAAAAAAAGACAAACTCCAAGTGTTTTGCGAAAAAAAAAAATGCGATATTAGGAAGGGCAAACGACCCGTTCTGAATAACCAATGAACAAAAGGAGGCGGCTCCAACGCAGCTCTGCTCTGGCCACCCTCGACGAGGTTACTTCGCAATTCACAAGCGCTTCATTACGGCACCGGCCCCCGCGACGATGAAAACGAGTCATGAACAATACGCGGACGCCTAATGCTCTGCGGTCGTCCTGGGAAATGCGACGGATCGACATCGGCGAAGCAGGGCGGCCGAGACTTCATGAAATTCAACGCGGACATCAGCGTGCTCCCAGCGGCGAAGCGTCAGGTCATTTGCCCGCCGGTCAGGTCGCGCTAGTAAGAAGCTGGCCCGCAAACACCGAGTCCTCCCCGAGGACGTCTGCACAAGACAGCAAGAGACACATCGCTCATGGGACAAGTTATGTCAGCAGCCACATCGTGCGGCTTCCTCTCTAATTCAGAAAAGCGCTTCTTGTTTGTTTTTTTTTTTCTTGTTTGTTTTTTTTTGCGTCGACAGTTTTTTGTTTGTGACGTTCCGCGGCCGATCCGAGTGTTTACGGCGACGGTGTAGCCCGCTAAATTTGGCGGGAAACGCTTTCCGCCCAATCTAGCCTCAAACCACTGCGTCACGTGACACTCTGGCGTCACGCGAAGTATTTCCCCCATAAATATGGTAGAGAAATGCCTCCGCTAAACTTAGCGGGGAATTGTGACTACGCTAAGCGTTTTCTTCTAAATTTAGCGGACAGATGTTTGCAATAAGTTTAGAGGAGAAACTGTGACGTCAGGGGACGTCAGGTGAAGCGTTTCTACGCTAAATATACGGGCAAATTTTTTCTCTAAATTTAGCGGCCATAGTGTGACGTCACGTGACACTATGATGTCCTATGACGTCACATTACCAAGTTACGTCCTAATCGTGTGACGTGGGTGTTTCAGCTAAATTTAGCTGGGAAATTGTAACATTACGCGACAGTGGAATCTTTCCACCTTTGCCAAATTTTGAGGGGAGGGGGGGGGGGGGGGAGGAGGAAGATTATGGGTAGTCTGGGTACAGCGCCTCGGCTATGGCCTCAGTTAATTTCCAGGACACGGCAAGCAATGGACCTTTTTTTCTTCTTTCATCCGATGAGCCTCTACACACATAATCACGAAGGAAAGTACTCTTTCGCTGGCGCTCAAGAATGAAGGGCGTGTGCGGTATCTGCTCTGCTCCGATATCACGGCAGCGCTTTATCGTCTGCTCGGGCGCGTGTGCTCGTAGCTCACTCTTTCGCTGGCGCTCAAGAATGAAGGGCGTGTACGGTATCTGCTCTGCTCCGATATCACGGCAGCGCTTTATCGTCTGCTCGGGCGCGTGTGCTCGTAGCTCACTCTTTCGCTGGCGCTCAAGAATGAAGGGCGTGTACGGTATCTGCTCTGCTCCGATATCACGGCAGCGCTTTATCGTCTGCTCGGGCGCGTGTGCTCGTAGCTCACTCTTTCGCTGGCGCTCAAGAATGAAGGGCGTGTACGGTATCTGCTCTGCTCCGATATCACGGCAGCGCTTTATCGTCTGCTCGGGCGCGTGTGCTCGTAGCTCACTCTTTCGCTGGCGCTCAAGAATGAAGGGCGTGTACGGTATCTGCTCTGCTCCGATATCACGGCAGCGCTTTATCGTCTGCTCGGGCGCGTGTGCTCGTAGCTTTCATTGTGAATGCGTCAATAGCCAGCCGGCAACGGCCAGGCGGCGCCAGCAGGGTGAGAGCGCACGGTTATACCCTGTCTCGTTGTAACTTGGCAAAAGGTAAACGATAAGCCCCACACTGCGTGCCGGCGGCTTCGAAATGCGCGACGTATACGAGCGCAACGCACAGATATTGGAGCATGACGCAGCGAAAAGCCTGATACTTCTCCGGAGTTGAGGCGCGTTCCGGTGGTAGGCAGTCACGTTTCGATTGGCCCGCCAGGGCCGTAGCTTCTGCTCTACTGGCACGTTACGCGATCACGGCTTCCTGGGATACCCAGTATTTCTTGCTTCAGACACTAGGCTCAACGGCGCCACCGGAGTAAAAGCTCACGTTTGAACAATGCAGCCGCCACTCCCAGGATACCCAATATTTCTTGTTTCAGTCGCTAGATGGCGCCAAATCAAACAGCATTGCAGGTTGACCTGCTTGTGACGAACGGTGTTAACGCCTTCAAGTGCGATTCCTGCACTAAACGTAAGAGTGAAGAGGCGTCGATAGTAAGAATCGCGTCGTCGGCTACGTCGGCTCGGGATAGCGAAGGACAACCAAGAGAATCGCCGTCGGAAAGATGCAGTCTTCACAAGCTGGTCCAAGAGCTCTGCTGCAAGATCGATGGTCTGTCCGAGGAGGTGCGGTCCTTACGAGCTGAGAACGAATCTCTGCGAACGCATTTGTTGCGGAACAGTGAACTGCTTCGGAGATGCCTTGCTGCTGAAGAACCTGGCCAGGCCCAAGCTTGGCAGAGTGAGCCTGCACCATCTTACTCTAAAGCGCTGCAACCCAATGCATCCTTCTGTTCGGCGACCACAAGTTAGCCCACTGCCTCCGAGGCTTCCGAGCGTCTTCTGGGGGGTGAACGTCCCCGGCGTGTGTTATCCACGAGAGGGGCGAGACATCCTCCGAATGACGAGCGGCGTCGGGGCCTACCCGACATTCGTCACAATTGAAGTGGTGACGATTTGGGCATGCCACCGATCTCGGATCCGCGAGGACACATGGGTGCTGACAGCTCCAAGAGGGCGGTCTCCCCAGTTGTGGACGAAGATGGCTTCCAAGTCATGCCACGCCGACGAGTCAAGGCTTCCGTCGGTTCGGCAAAAGCCAGTAAGTTGCGTGTGGTGGCCAAGCCTCCTAGGAAGAGGGCTCTTTTTGTTTCCCGATTGCATCCAGAGACCACCAGCGACGAACTATCGGAAATTGTGTCTAGTGCTCTAGAATGCCAGAGCTTCTCTTGCACTAAACTGGTAGCTAGGTATGATACGTATGCTTCATTTCCCGTGTTAGTTAACGAGGAGGACTTCGAGAAACTTGTTTGTCCCGACTTGTGGCCCGAGGGCTGCCTTTTCCGGCCATTCTTAGGCCGACTGAGGGTTGACAACGAACGCAGTGCTTTGAATCCCAAGCCAAAGCAAGGGGAAGATTCTGCCGCCCCTTTAGATTCCTAAACCTAAATGCTCGAAGTGTTGCCAATAAAGCGGTAGAGCTTGAAGGTGTTTTATTGGCATTTAACCCTGATGTGGCAATTATAACAGAAACTTGGCTGCACGATCAAATACCTGATAATGACGTTTTTCCTCATGGTTTCAAAGTATTCCGACGGGATCGTGGCTCAAGAGGGGGAGGGGTCGCTCTTTTTATCAAGGACACCATTCCATGCATGTCTATTGAGCACGGCCAGGACTGTGAAATGGTCTGGGCCTCTATACGTTTTGGTTGCCAATCAATGCTTGTAGGAGCAGTATATAGATGTCCTCAGGCCAGTATTGATGTCCTACAGAGTTTATCTGAGTTTCTTCTAACTAAAACCAAGCAATTTTCACGTATAGTTATGGCCGGTGATTTTAATTTGCCAGATATAGATTGGAATTGCGTGATGCCCAATGGGATACGCAATCAGTCTAGGCTTCTTGTTGATATTGCCTTTAGTAATAATTTAAGTCAAGCGGTCAAGTGTCCCACACGTGTGTCAAATGATAGGGAATCCTTGCTTGATCTCGTGTTTTTATCTGAGGTCGTTACAAGAAGTATTCTTGACGTATCAATCGCGGATGGCATATCTGACCATGCAATAGCTGTATGTGACCTATCTGCACCGCAGCATGCACACAATGAAACCGAAGGAAAATCTTATTGTGATTTCAACAGGGCGAATGATATCGATATTATAGACTTTATGGAAGTGGCTCTAGACAGATTTCTTGCGTTTTACGATGCGAACCCGGACTCAGTAGATAAGCTTTGGCTCTTTTTTAAGTAAGTCATCCTTGCATGTGTTGATAAGTTTATTCCAGAGCGACCGACAAAAAGGAAGAGGCACAATCCATGGGTGACGCGCGATATTTTACATTTAAAGCGAAAGATAAATCGAGTAGATAGGTTCCAAGTTTAAAATTTATGCTTCCTCCTCTTCGCCAAGAGCTACGGACCCTTGTGCGCACATCTAAATATCGTTACTTTAATGTCACGATGCACAACTTTCTCGTAGAAAATCCGAGAACGTTCTGGGCTCATTTGTCAAAAAAAAAAAAAAAAAGGTGATGATTAAGGAGCTTATTAATAGCGGGCAGACATTTGCCGATGAAGCGAGCATAGTAAGTGAGCTTAATTATTTTTTCTCTTCTGTCTTCTCTGTTGATAACTGCATGTTGCCTTCATTTAATCATGACAGTTGTGGAACCAGTGATTTGGTGGTTTCTACAGAAGGTATTTTTAACAGTCTTTTGCAATTAGACACTAGAAAGTCGAGTGGCCCAGATGGAATTCCTAACGCTTTCTTACGAAGGTACGCTGAATGGTGTTCCAAGTTTCTTTACGTGATTTAATCTTGCAGTTTAAAAACTTGTGACGTGCCTCAAGATTGGAAAGTAGCCAAAGTTGTCCCTATATATAAAAGTGGAGAGAAAAAAAGTTTTTGCAATTACAGACCAGTGTCATTGTTGAGTACATGTAGCAAGGTTCTCGAACACTTCATATTTAAGCACATTGTAATTTTTCTAGAATCTGAAACTTTCTTAGTAGATTATCAACATGGGTTCCGAAGAGGCTTTTCGACAGTGACACAGCTGCTTCATACGGTCCACAATTTTGGTTCAGTGATTGATAACAATGGTCAAGTCGACACTGTCTTCTTAGATTTTGCGAAGGCGTTCGACAGGGTTTCGCATCACAAGTTACTGCACAAATTGAAGCAAGTGTTGGGCAATGATCGCCTATTGAGGTGGATAGACTCGTACCTTACAAATCGTAAACAGTTTGTGTGCGTAGGCAATGCTGAATCAATAGAGTTACCTGTTCTTTCTGGAGTGCCCCAGGGCTCGGTACTCGGACCATTGCTCTTTTTGGTTTTTATCAATGACCTGCGAGTTGATAAGCCCTCGGTACAGTGCCGTTTTTTTGCTGATGATTGTGTATTGTTTTCAAATATATCTTGTGTATCTAACCAAAAATGCTTAGAGGAGTGTATTTAAATGATTTCATTATGGTGTCAAAAATGGCAAATGAATTTGAATGTCAAGAAATGTGTGCAGATGTCAATTACACTGAAGAAGGTGCCTATATTTTTTTCTTATTCTATTCATTCAAATGCCTTAGAAGTAGTTAATAAATACAAGTATCTAGGTGTTACTATCACGTCCAACTTAAGCTTGGCTAGTCATATTGAGCAGACTGTCGCAAAAGCGTCAAGTAAATTGTGGTCGCTACGTAGGAAAATGTGTCACTGTACTCCTGCAACAAAGCTGACGGCCTATAAATCGCTGATTCGTCCTTTGCTGGAATGCCTGACGTTGTATGGGACCCGCACTCGCTTATTGATCAATTGGAAGGCCTTCAAAATAAATCGCCTTAGGTTTATTTACAACTCATACGGCAAAGATTCACACGTGTAACCATTGTATACCGCCTCCGGAGTGTCTATATTATCATGTCGAAGGAAAGCGTTTGACATTTTTGCATAACATAATTCATAATAACGCTGGTTTAAATTTTGATGATTATTTGCAGTATAACGCGAGTCGGGCTACAAGGCAGAAGCACGAGAATTTGCTCCTTGAGTTCCGCTGCAGAAAAGATGTTTTTAAAAACTCATTTTTTCCTCGTTCTGTTATTGAGTGGAATGAGTTGCCACCAAGTGTGACGGCGATTGCTTCTACCGCTTTATTTGCGAGTGCAGTAGATGAATTGTTTTTTGTCACCAATGACTAAGCTACTTGTTTATTGTTGTTTGTTCACTTGACTCATTGATGGTTTCTGATGTTTGTCTATCATGCCTTGGCCCTCAAAATTTGGGCGGCAGTATTCTCAGATAAATAAATAAATAAATAAAAATAAAGCTTGCGCGTAGAACCCACGAATTACTTCACATACATTACCATCACATTCGCTAGGGGTCTCTTTTGCCAGTAGCTATTGTATTAACTGTTCAAGGATTACAACATTGTCAATCGATCGATCAATCACTCGATCAATCAATCGATCAGTCACTCATTCATTCATCATGCAAGAGTCGTCGATGGGAGGACACACGCGACGGGGTCAGCATGGTACATCTATTTCAGGAGAGACACTGAATTGGCAACAGCTTCTAAGATAACACAAAACCTACCGTGAACGGCAAAGCGTTCATACAATCAGCTACACTTCTACGACAGGATCTGCCGGATTAGAACAATACAGATGGGTTCGCGATTGGTTCGCGATTGGTTCGCTCTGGTTCCTATCGAGTAGGCTACTCAGTGATTACGAGATAACTCAGACTGGCTACGTTCTTTCGTTCTTGAACTCTCAAATTAAATGTTTACCGTATGAAAAGTGATGAAGAATCATGGTAATATTCTCGAAGTGCCGGTCTAGCTCATTCCTAAAAAAAACCAAAAAAAAAACGCAGTCCACGATAATTACAGTAATCGGTCTCTCAAGTAGTCAAAAAATTACGCCATCATCCCCCCCCCCCCCCCCCCCCCCCCCAAAATGAGCTTGAAAAAACGAATATTCGCGAATCCTAACAAAAAAATAGTCAAACCAAATTTTCCACACCCTTCAATTCCGAAGTTGCCAGTGAGTTATGTTTAATAACTTTAAGAAAGGCCGGTTGTGACAATTCTTGATTATGTCAGAGCAGGCAGTTTGTGAAATCAAAGGGGTTACGACGGAAAGAATATACTCACTGATTATTCCCTGCAAGGCAGCGCTACGGATAGGACAAAAAGGAGCAACTTTGTCCTTGGATATTAAGCGCGGCACAGCCCATGCATCAAATGAGATTCCTTGCATTGCACATAAAAATAAGAACCATTTTTGTTTTCGTTAAAACGTTTGTTGTAGAGTAAGGAAACAGTTTAGGGGGGGGGGGGGGGGCACTGTAAGTGACGCGCATCAACCCCTTTATCGGTTGCACTCTTCCCACTGACCACCGAAGATGCCTCACCGACCAGCAACATCAGTGCCAACATTTCCGTCGATTTATACTTTACACTCTAAGAAATCTGGAGCGCCCACTTTCCCTCCGAGCACTTGGCAAAGCGAATCACTGCAATCTGTACGGTGGGCTGTCGGCGAACGACAAGGCTGATAACATGTTTAAACCTCAAAACATAATCTGCGCTGTGGCAGTGAGCACGGTGTTCCACCTTGCTCACTGCCTCCAGCACAGATTACCATGGCCCAGTCAAAGTTGTAAGCGTTACCGAAAAGAAAAAAAAAAAGGATAGCGAAATTTGTTACCCGTTACTTGCGAAATAAAGGAACGCGTTACTGACCTACGTTACCTCGAGATACAGGAGTTACCGATAAAAAGTAACGCACGTTACTTCTGCGTTATTTTCATTTTTATATATATCGACGGTAACAGAGTTTTTTTCTGACGACAGCGTTTTTCAACTCCAAGACGAAGGGCGTGGGCGTTAATTTTTGTTTGTTTAGGTGGGCCTTTTTACGTAGGGAAGAGAGGCAAAATTTTAGGTTACGTGGAATGAGTGCAATATTGAATGACTTGGTGCCTATACTTCGTTTCAGCTTCAGTCCAGACGCAGCCGACGATACGAGCTAATGGGACCGATCAAGCTGCGTCAAAGCGTAGGTCACTGGGTTTTATCTGTTGATGATTGTTTCAGCGGTGACAGAACACGTACAGAAACGGGAAGAACACCATGTTGGTGCCCTTTTGACGTGTCTGATTAGCCCCATCAGCTCGTAGCGTCGGCTGCGTCTTAAAGACTTAAAGGGGCACTGACACCCCAAAGGTCGTATTTATTTTTATTGTCTAAAACGATGCAAGTTGCAGTCATAGACACGCAAAAAAAACCGCATCGCGAAAAAAAATTTTCCCGCGCGCGCGCGCGCCTTTTTATTTTTGGCGTTTGATTTTCCCGCCTCTCGCCTCCTCGCTTCTTTTGATCGGTGACGTCAAAAATCAGGAAATTTAGAAGCTTTGTAGGCGACATCTCTATAACATTTAATTACGGCAATCCTAAAACATGTTTTTTAACGCAATTGCGAACGCACTACGGCCCTTCTTTTTGAAATACCAAAAATCGGGAGTTCGTTGTGGTGCCGTCTCCTGGATTTGTATCCTCCAACGGAAAACAGGCGACACCGCTCAAAACCGGTCCGCCGAAACGCCGCCGCTCGCTCCTTTCCTCCTCGCTTTGGGTCGCCATGGCAACAGCAGGGAGTGGTGAAAGAAAGTCGACTCTCAGGTCTCCGCAATTTTTGACGTCAAGGCACCGGCGCCGATCGCGCGGGAACTTCGAATTCGGCATTTGGAAATTGTTTTTTTTACTTCACAAATACTGAATTCCCAAATTTCAAATTTTGAGGGTAATGTCCCGGCATCGTTTTCAATCGTTTCGGATAATAAAAAAAAAATATGATTTTGATGTGTCAGTGCCCCTTTAAGGTAACGCGAAGTATAGAAACACCCCCCCCCCCAAAAAAAAAAAAAAAGTACTTTTTTAGGTATTGCGAAGAAGATACAACGAGAAACGTAACGACGTTAGCTGCTACTTGAAACCAGTGGCGTAAATGCGTTACCCCTTACTTTTTTTTCTTTTTTTAAAAATGTAACGTGCACGTTATTATGTTACCAAAAAAGTGAAAGGCCTTTGCAATACTTCTGTAATGCGAAATTAGAGCGCAGCTCTTCAGGAGGAGGAGGGGAGGGTACGGAGGAGGCGGGTATACCCCGCCTCCTCTTCCCCTCCTTTCTCCGCATCCTCAGATCAAGTTTCCCCGCTAAATTTAGCGGGGAATACGACGCCT